TGGATATTTACCGAGCCGCGAAGCGGCGAGGTAAATATCCACCGCTAACCACCGACACTGAGGTGAATAGTTGTTTTAGTATATACTAAAACAGTGAGATAATATACACCACCAAAAATTGATTTTAATTCATACGATTCCAACATTTCAACATTTTCCCGCGCGTAACGATCCAACGCGGCTCGGATCGCGGTAAGTGATTTTTTGTTGTAAAAACTGCCGTCTCGTTTTTTCGCTGACAGATAAAATTTCTGAAGACATTTTGTTTAGCTCTGGTGGCGACATTTCTTCAAATGGTGTTGCAAACTCTTTCTGTATTTGAAACCATTCTGTAAAAAATACCATTCAACTTTGATTTTCAAGTAAACAAGTGAGGTTACGCAAGATTAATTTGCATTTGTAAACAAAACCTTTTTCACTGGTTTTTATCGATAAACTTCCGGTTACCATTACCTTTAAACACAGCCAAACCAAATTTAGACGCTTTCTCTGTGTTTTCGTTGTTACTTGAGTGATTTATTCGCTTGTCACGGATGCAAACCGGCACGCCACTTTTTCTCGAGTTGCTCGGAGGTAAATAGCAAAGGATATTCGGAGTTTGACTAGCCAATTAGAGCGCGCCTTCAACGCTATCCACTGTTTTAGTATATACTAAATATAAATATATATATATGTTTATAACTCTCAAAAAAGAAAAAACTTTGAGTTTAAATTTGCAAGACGTGTTTCGACATTCTCACGTCATCTTCAGTTGCAAATGAGCATTTAACGGTTGAACATTTGAATTTATATTAAGGTACGTTACAAATTACGTGTCAGGGCTTACTTTACATTTGAATGTTAAAAACGCGAAAAATGTAAATAACGCGCGCTTGACTAGATCAAAAATTAAATAAATAAAATGATAATAATAATAATAATAATAATGATAATAATAATAATAATGATAAAATAAAAGACCAAGGAACAACATAATTAAAAGAATTGTCTCTTTCCTTTTAATTATGTTGTTCCTTAGTCTTTTATTTTATTATTATTATTATTTTATTTATTTATTTATTTTTTGATCCAGTCAAGCGCGCGCTATTTACATTTTTCGCGTTTTTAACATTCAAATGTAACGTAAGCCATGACACGTAATTTGTAACGCACCATAATACCTTAATGTTTATATTTTCTGTTTTCATTTCCTTTAGAATTCTCTTTTTAAGATGACAATTTTGTACAATTAAATTCTCCTACAAATAAATTTTCCTTTTAATAAACCAGATTTTTTTTCTTGTATATATTTTAGCTTCTCATATTTTCTTAGGGTAGGCACCCCGCATGGGTCTGAGTGTCCCGTTCGTGCCCATTCCTTTCGGGCATTAATTCTCTATGTTTGTATGTTTTCATTTTGATCTTACCTAGTAAAGCTTGGCATACATACATACAGAATTTACTTCAACCTCCCTCCCCCCGAAAATCATTCGACCCCATTTTTGAGGTTAACAAAGGGCGCGTGAATTTTACAGAAAGGGGAGCGTGATTGGAGAATTTATGAACCGGTGCGAGGCGTGATTTTCCCTCTGAAAGAAACACCTACCTGATTTTTTTCCCTTTAATTTAATGAAAACGTCAAGATTTCCTTGACACCTTGAACTCAAGAGAGATACCTTGAAGTTTGTATTCTGGAGTTCGGCATCCTTCAACTGTACATTTAAACCGATTCCTTGTCAGTATCACAGGGAATGTGAAGAGAACACCATAGAGAATATGAATGCCAATTTAAGCGCTTAGCACTGAAAAGGATAGGCGCCATATAAATATTTTATTATTATTATTGTTATTATTATTTGAACATGACAACAGCGACGCCGTTCTGCTTATAGACGCGTCGAACGCCTTCAACTCCTTGAATAGAGCCGCCGCCCTGCATAATATTGGAGTGTTATGCCCATCACTAGCGACATACGCAATAAATACTTACAGGGAGCCCGCACGCCTCTTCATCATTGGCGGACAGGAACTGAGATCATCCGAAGGCACTACACAGGGCCACCCGCTTGCCATGAGCCTATACGCCATGAGCCTTCAGCCACTCATAACGCGATTACAAGTCAAGAGCGCAGCTAGCCAGTGTTGGTTGCGGTTGACGCAATCGGGTGTGGTTTCCTAGGGGATATGAAAACATGGTGGGACGAGCTCATGGTCAGCGGGCTTCCACTGGGATATATTCCAAACCCCCAAAAATGCTGGCTCATTGTGAAACCTGAAAAAGAGCGACCCGCTAAGGAGATCTTTAGCGAGACAAATATTAACATCACAACTGAGGGTCGCAAGCATTTAGGAGCGGCTCTTGGTTCTAGAGCTTTTTTTGAAGAATATGTTGACGAAAAAATTGAGGAATGGGTTGCACAAGTAACCAGACTGGCGGAATTCGCTACAACACAACCTCAATCTAGTTATGCAGCCTTTGTGTTTGGACTAAGGCACCGTTGGACATATCTCTTAAGAACTCTGCCAGGCTTAGCCCCTTTTCTCGAACCGCTAGAGCGTGCCATAGCGGATTTGCTTGTGCCGGCTATCACCGAGCATGCTACCACACAGGAAGAACGGGATCTTTTAGAACTCCCAGTTCGCTTAGGCGGGCTAGGGCTAATCAATCCAGCCAGAACCGCATCACAAGAGTATGAGGCGTCTGTTAAGATCACAGGCCCTCTTGTGCGGCAAATTATCAAGCAAGCCCAAGAGCCACCAGATGAGACGGAAATTAAGACCCTGCAAGCGAATGCACGAAGAGAAAAAGATGAATTGTTAAAGAGGCAGTGTGAGCAAGTGAGGGAATCCTTGTCTAGCAAAACTGAACGCGCGGTAGAGCTGGCTGCGGAGAAAGGGGCCTCGAATTGGTTGACAGTGATCCCGATAAAGGAGATGAATTTTAATTTGAACAAAAGAGAATTCAGAGATGCAATTAAATTAAGGTATGACTGGGAGATCGCTGACCTACCTGCCATGTGCACATGTGGGGACTTTTTTACCGTTGATCATGCTATGGTCTGCCGGCATGGTGGGCTGATCATTCAAAGGCACAATGAGATTAGGGATCTAGAAGCGGAAATGTTGCGCATGGTTTGCACTGACGTAGAGACAGAACCAGTTCTTCAGGAAATCACTGGGGAAGAGCTAAACAGAGGCGCAAACAGAGCGCCCGATGC